AGATTGGCATGGATGCTTTTGCGCAAAAGCACTTTTTGCGGAAAAGCATCCGTGCCAATCTAGACACGGTTTTGCACAAGAAAGCCCCGATTGCCATTTTTGCCATCGGGGATTTTTTGCGCAAAACAGTTTTTAGCTGTCTACACTGGCCCTCTTGCGCAAAAACATTTCCGGAAAAGGGCTTTTGCCCGAACGGGAACGTCAAAGAATTTGCGCAAGAATTACTGATTTCAGACAGTAGAACGTCAGTGCTTTTACGCAAAATCAAGCGGCCAGTGTAGACAGCTGGCAAGTTTTTGTGAAAAGCAGAGAAACTTGCCAGTCTAGACGCAGCCCTATAGATGTAGAGAATAACACAGATGAACGGAAGGGACAGACAGAAGTTACTGCAGATGGGTTCTTCCCCTGTGTCTCGGCCTATAGCGCCCTCTGCTGGCAGTGAGAGTCATTGCTTTTCATTCAACAACTTTTTCACCTGGCTTTCCCTGGATTTGTGGAAGATCATCTGTCTTTGTCAGTCTGAACATCAGCACCTTGAACAGCACCTTGAACTTCAGACATAGGGCAATTCACAGCCAGAAGCATTCTGACAGCAGCTGAGACATGGGTAACCCCAGACAGCAGGGATATGATCATAGATTTCATCTCCTTAAAGGCCATTGATTGATATTGATTTAGACCAGTGCAACTTCTTTGCACTGCGATGCCCTGCTGATGACAATTTACCACGTGACCTCAGGAGGGGAGCGCAATTGGCTTGAGCTCGCCTGAGCCCCACCAGCCAGGGCTGATGAACTCAGACTTTGGTTTTGGTCCTGCGTCCAGCAAATTGAACACCATGTCCAGTGACCCCATTAAAACAGAGTCGTGACCCACTTTGGGGTCCCAACCCAGCATTTGAGAACCACTGATCTAGACCAGATAGGACTCGTGGTCCGAGGTGTGTTCAGAGCAGCAGTTTGGAAGCCAGCAATTTGCTTGCGTTAGCTCTCATATTGGCAGTGTGACTTTGCGCAAACCACAGGTGTGCCGTGCCTCAGTTTCCTCATCTACGTTTCTCCCTATTTCCCCAAAGGGATGAGAACAGTCCTTATCAGGAGTGTTGCGCAAGTTCTTTAGCTGTGTGGGCTGTGCTCAGTGTTGTGACGAGGGAGCGACGCGGGTGGGACAGCTGTTACTCCTCTTAGCAAGACATGGCACGGGCCAGAGCAAATGCATCACCCATTTGTCCCCTACAGGTTTCTATTAAAATCTCTGCTTATAAAGTTACAGGGAGCCCCAGCACTGAAATCAGGGGGTGGGGATGCCAGGGTTCAGGATCTGGATAGTCTGTGAGTGCCCTGAGACCCAGACGGGCTTCCCTGGGGACACGGGGTAACTGCAGTCTGCTCCAGAGGGCTTTGTAATTACTTGGCATCGACCCTACAGAGCTTCCTCCTCTGTTCTAAACACCTCAGCTGCGTCTAGACTGGCAAGTTTTTCCACAAAAGCAGATGCTTTTGTGGAAAAACTTGCTAGCTGTCTACACTGGCTGCTTGAATTTCCGCAAGAACACTGACTTCCTACTGTCTGAAATCAGTGCTTCTTGCGGAAATACAAAGCTTTTGTGCAAAAGGGCCAGTGTAGACAGCTCAGATTTGTTTTGCGCAAAAAAGCCCCAATCGTGAAAATGGCGATTGGGGCTTTTTTGCGCAAAAGCACGTCTAGATTGGCACGGATGCTTTTCTGCAAAAAGTGCTTTTGTGAAAAAGTGTCCGTGCCAATCTAGACGCTCTTTTCCACAAATGCTTTTAATGGAAAACTTTTCCATTAAAAGCATTTGCAGAAAATTATGCCAGTCTAGACGTAGCCCTCCTGTGCACCTGGTTTCTACAGATACTGGAAATACCCTGGGTCCCGTTCCATCAATACTCTGCCCTATTGCATAATTATTCTGGAAGTAACCAGCCCTTCTAAGGTCATTGCCTCCAAATGCCCTGCCTCGGTATGGCACTGCCCCACAGATCTCCTGCCCCTGAGAATACTCCAGCCTGCGTAACTACTTAGGCCACTCAAAGTTATGCCTGGACTGACTTGGCCAAAGGCCAGGGGCCCAGAAAGAGATAAGAGATTTCTCCCTGCTCCACTCTGGTCCCGCACTGGTCACTATCCACTCAGGCCCAGGGATCTGAGCAAGGTAAGTGTTTTGGATCAGATGCACAAGGGAGGGGGGAGCAGGAAT